GGGGGCCAGATCCGGTCCCCGGGCTGTAGGTTGCCAACCCCTGCTCCAGAGTCATAGTCCAACACTCAAACTACTATGCCATTCTGGCTTACAAAAGTTAAACCTGATTCAGCTAAATTTTTTACATCATACAAAAGTTAAAAATATGAACCATTCCTAAAATTAAAAGCCACTAAAGCGAACCATGAAAAAGAAGAAGACATATAAGCAACATAGCTCATATGCTCTCAGCCGCAGGGGAAGGCAACAACAAACCACCTCTGAACCAATCTTGCCATGAATACCCTACGATAGGTTTGCCAGAAGTTGGAAATGACTTGAAAATACACAACAACAGCAACAACACATGCACAGCCTGTTCCCTTAAGCAATCCGACACAGAAACACCTGCTTACCAAAACAGAAAATGGAGGATGGCAGTCTAACCTTTCTTGGAAAGGAGTCCCAGAGCCTGGGAGCAGCCACCAAGAAGGCCCTCCCCCATTTTCCCATCAGATGCACCTGGAAGAATGGTGGAAGTCTAGGCTTGCCAGACTGGACCCCGGAGAAGCCTCCTGAACCTTTAATGGTTGTGTTGAAGAGGGAGTTTCAGCAGATGTTGTTTCTTACCTGGTTGAGAAACAACCAACACCACCTGAAACTCCTGCTTCCATGCAACCGTTAAAGGTAATGGTAACCATTAAAGTCTCCCATCTTTAGGTGGAACAAAGAGAAGGGTCTCCCAAAAAGACTTCATAGAATCACTAGGGAATCTTAGAGTTGGAAGGGACCCCAAGGGCCATCCTATCCAACCTGCTTTTGCCATGCAGGAACACCGAATCAAAGCCCTCTCGACATCCAGCCTCTGTTTAAAACCCTCCAAAGGAGGAGACACCACCACATTTGGAGGCAGCGTCTTCCACTGTCCAACAACACTTTCTGCTACAAAGTTCTTTCTAATGTTGAGGTGGGATATCTTTTCCTGCAGTTTGCTTCCATTGCTCTGTGTCCTGTTTTCTGGAGGCTTCCCCTTCCTCTGAGGCTGAGAGTGTGTGACTTTCCCACGGTCACCTGGTGGCTTT